CATCAAATCAATGGTTTGTTTCAAAACACATGTCTTTTCCGTTCATAAAAAACATTGCATTTAAAGCGCGAATGCATTGAAAGTCAACACAAATTATGTGTAACTTTTGTGAACTTATTTTAATTCCGAGTTTCAGATGCTTTTCACACATTAATTTAATGTTTAAATTGATTTAGTGTCAAATGAATCAAATTTAGTAATGTTGAAATAAATTGTGTGCTAACTCATGGTAATTATGATCATGATTTTGGAAAATAAAATTTTATAATAGTTTCATTGAAAAGATAATAAAATCACAGAATATGATAACGGCTTTATAAAATGTTCTTTGTATTCTTAATACTATGAACAAGGTAGTGTTAAATATATTTATATTAAATTGTGTAATTATTCTTGAATTATGACCCAATAATGAGATGACAAATGTATTTCCAGACTATAATCCAATTAATGAAAACTTTATCAAATTATAACAAAATTCCTACTTTTGGTAATTGCATTAAAATGAGTTAAAAGTTAATTAAACTCAATTTATAAAACAACTCATAAAATACAAATACCTATAGACTGGATCTCATCTGAAAATTAATACCAAACTAATGATTAATCCCTAAAAAACAAGTAATTCATCAACAGATCCGATGTGAAGACAATCATTGACTTGAACACGAATTGTGAGTCGTTTTTGATGTTTGACTCGTGTTTTGAAAAATGCCTTCAATTTTGAAAGTGTTGTCAATATTTGAGTGAAAAACTAATCAATCGTTGACTCAATTGAAGCGCTCTTCGGGTGATAATCACTTGCCATCCGAAGACATGTATGACCCGAACGTGAAGTCCCCGAAGAGTTGTGGCCAACAAAAGCAAAGCCATAAAGATATGTACAAAACGTCTCCCAATTGGCAACTCATCTACAAAAAGGTGAGTCTTTGTCTCTCTATCTTCATATTCTTCCGAGTCTTACCAGAGATAATGGCTTAGAGTTGTGGACTGTTAGCCATGGATTAGACACTGAAATGAATAGTAATTGGCAACTCATCTACAAAAAGGTGAGTCTTTGTCTCTCTATCTTCATATTCTTCCGAGTCTTACCAGAGATAATGGCTTACAGTTGTGGACTGTTAGCCATGGATTAGACATTGAAATGAATAGTAATGTGATGTCTGTCCTCAGGAATGCTTAACACAACTGAATGATCGCCGAAAGGAGAGCCGATCCAGACTTATAGAGCGCTTCCGAAACATCGACTTAAATGAGACATCAGTTGTGGAGGAGTTGGTCACCACTGAGAAGACACAGATTGTGGAACAAGTGATGCAATCGGTTTGGAGTCAATACACGTCCCAATTGCCCATTGATAGCACAGATATCACCGATTTTATGGAACAGATTAGACAAGAGTTACTCATCGAAGGTATGCCTCTTATGAGTGGTTAAATGTGTGGCGAAGAGTTTGATCCGACTGTTGATCTGTCAGAGAGTCAGTATTGGGAAGAGATGTTGGAGTGGCGTAAGGAAGAGGAGGTCCAATGGATGGTTCAGAACAGGGATTCTGTGGTCTGTTTTTTCTGTCAGAAGAATCCTCTGGATATCACTACCAGTAATGACAATAAGTCGGAACTAGTTTGCAGTAAATGTGGTTTCAATTTGCGGACTCCGGTATGCATTTCCGAACTCTCTCTCTCTCTCTCTCTCTCTCTCTCTNACAGACCACAGAATCCCTGTTCTGAACCATCCATTGGACCTCCTCTTCCTTACGCCACTCCAACATCTCTTCCCAATACTGACTCTCTCCTATCATTCATTCATTCATTCACTGATTGATTGCATTAATTGATTAAAAGTTTTATTGAATGAATAGTTTTCGCTGACACTGCCATACCTTCAGGAGAGAGTGGATCACATAATAGCTCAGCACTCAGTCCTATGCGGCAACACTTCACTCAAATTCAATTTAATCAACGATTGCTCAAACAATGGCTACAATAATATCTCGGTTTCGTGTGACGTAAGTCTGGGTTTTAATTACGGTTTTAAATGTTTTGATGCAAACAAACATTACGATAGTTTAACATTTGTTGCCATAATGTAAGCGCAGTTTATACGACAATTATTGTATGCCATAAAAGTAGTAAAAGTTATGGATTTACGCGAAATGTTTTGTAAACTTTTAGATAAGAGTGGTTAGCGATCGCGCCATCAGTTTGCTGTCCAATCATTACACAATTAAAGCATAAAAACATGCAATAAATGCAATAATAATAATCTTATATTTGTTGTCACTTTCCTGCTCTGAAATTGCGATTAATCAGCAAATGTTAAGTATTTTTAGAAAATAAATATTTACAACTACCGTAAATAAAGAGTTTTGTTTGTTTGCATCGAAAGTACTGTAATTATCGCCTTTTGAATTGAACTTTAATTATAATTGCAACTAAAAGCTGTGATTCCCTTACGATTGCAGGTCTGTTCCCGGCGCGACTTCATATTCAAGGAATTGAATTACATTTGTTTGTAAATAACATTTTGCCACTAGATTTGGTTGCATATGATTGACGCAAATATTCGCTCATTAACTGCCTAAGCATATGTGCTAACGTTTCAAATGTCGTTTGTAATAAAGTTATTGAAAATTTGTTTTTAATTTATATTATGTTTCATTCATTACCATCCGATAGCGCGATAAATGTAATTATAAATATAATGATACAAAGTTTGTATTACAAACGTTTGATTTATTTGAAAATTTGTTTATATTTTTCTTATAAATCATTAATCCTTTGATTTCATTGCTCTCTGAGTACTTATCACCAGTTGTTGTTTAAGTTTTCAAAAAGTGTTTAGTTTACTGTGTATTACGGACTTATGGCGCAAAACATAATCAAACAAATCATATGATTTTAGTGCACTTTTAGTGTACTTTAAAAACTTTTACCCAATACTGTCATTCAAAACCATTGCTCAGCCCTTTGCCTACAGCCCCACCCCTACCCTCCTTTGTTTTGCCGTACTTTTACGTACAGTGAATGCCATTTCCAGTGATACGGTAACCTTGCACACATACAAAATGAGTACCTGGATCACTTGATCCCACCCCTCCACCATAGCTGTCAATAACTCTCGCTTTCCATTCGCGATGTTATATACGAGTAGAGCTTTTGTTGTCATCTATTGTCTGTTTAAATGTGTTTTTGTAGGCAAACATATTGTACTCCCTGTCCACCAAACAGGTGCTCCCTTTGTGTGGGACCTAACCCACGGTCACAAAGAGAGCCCATACGGCCAGCCATACGGTTCCCTAACATATGCCTAACTGATGATCACTTTTTTGGTAAAAATCAATAAAATAAAACATATTTTAAAGGTTTAGTGAGAAAAAGTTAATTAAAACAAAAGTTTCAGCAAAAACAAAACTTTGTTCAGTCTCTCACATGACTGCTGTATGTCTTACATAACTGGGTGGCAGTGGCTATAGTAGTGGAGTAGGGGTTACGGGGAAAGGGGGGACAGTAGTGCACAACAACAGCACTGGCAGACTGTGTGGTATTGTATGGGAGAGCAGTGCGCAGAGCATACACTTACAGCGCACGTGAAGTTGAGGTCCTTTTAATGAAATGTGACGTCACTTGAAAACAATGAATGAAATACTGCTCCCAAAGAGTGGCATAGGTTTCGCTGCATAACACTGCGAGTCAGCTGAGGCCTAAGCATAGCTGGAAATGCATAGCCTTTAACGCAAACACTTTGTGCTGAAGTGAAGGGAGTTATCATTCATTCAATGAGTGCTTCACTCCATGTATACAACGAATGGCGTCTCAAACAGACGACACAAACGCCAATTGAATCCAATCAGTGATTCACTGCTCATTGTGTGCAGTCACTCATCAGTCACTGTGTGTGAAGCCATTCACGCAAACACTACACACGACGAGACATCATCTGTTCATCTGTGGTGACAGTGCTCACGATCACCAACAAGTTGATCACAACAACCAAACAATAACAATAACAATACATCCATTGTGTGTACGCTATAGTCATCGGTGGTGCGACAGTGTATATGAAGTGCTACGACAAGTGGTGACATAGAGATCAGTGAACATGGAAGTGGTGGGCCAGTACGAGTACTCCCACAAGGACCTAATCGGCCATGGTGCGTTCGCGGTCGTGTTCAAAGGCCGTCACCGACACCATCAACACAACTCAGTGGCCATCAAATCGATCACCAAAAAGAATCTGCAGAGAAGTCAGAACCTGTTGGGCAAAGAGATTAAGATATTGTCTGAGTTGACACAACTGCATCACGAGAACGTCGTGGCACTCCTCGACTGCAAAGACACGCAGACCCACGTGTTTCTCGTGATGGAGTACTGCAATGGCGGCGATCTGGCCGACTATCTCTCCGCGAAGGGCACCCTCTCTGAGGACACCATTCGCTTGTTCTTCAAGCAGATCGCCGGCGCTATGAAGGCGTTGAACGCCAAGGGTATTGTCCACCGAGACCTCAAACCTCAGGTACTGTGAGACTGTGATGTCATTTGTTTTTGTTGTCTCTCTGTTTGTTGTCTTACGATATCTTATGATATGTTTTATGGTTTAATATCTTGTGATTCAATGTAATGTTGTGTTGTTTGTATGATAACTAGTCATAACTAGTGTTTTAAGACATGAGAAGTAAATGTTGGCACTAATTATAATGTGGGAAAAGTGCTTATAATATAATATAAAGTGCATTAAATGCACAAAACAAAGGAATAGTCAATATATTGAGGCATTGAATAAAAGGTCTCGCAATTGATTATATAATAAATATATGGCTTGTAATGCATAACTCAAAATATCGATGCATTTGTAGTGATTCACTGGAAAAACGTATATACAAACGATTATTAAACAACATTTTTCTTATGTAATCCTCAAGTCATATGTCTGTACACTGTATACACGAATGTCTGCGTTATCTGAACGCAAACCTTATGTTCAATACCTAACAGATATGTATGTCTTGAATGTCACAGAATATACTGCTGTGTCACGAGAGCCCCAACCCGTCGGCCAATGACATCCGGCTAAAGATCGCCGACTTCGGGTTCGCCAGGTTTCTGGAGGACGGGGTGATGGCGGCCACCCTATGCGGCTCACCCATGTATATGGCACCTGAAGGTAAGGCAGCTTTCATTATACAGTTTGTCTACCTGTGCGCTTTTTTTCTTGTTGTTTCCTCTGCCGTTGCACCCAATGATTATGCCTTCAAACGCGTGATTCACTCATTAATTTGTTTCGCTAATGGTTTGTCTCTTGAATTGGCATTATTTCTATGTTTGGACGCAATGGTGATCGCAGTGATAATGTCACTGAAATACGACGCGAAGGCCGACCTCTGGTCCATTGCGACGATAGTGTTTCAGTGTCTCACGGGAAAGGCTCCCTTCCAGGCGTCCACACCTCAGGCCCTCAAGAGTTTCTACGAGAAGAATCCAGACCTCAAACCAAAGTATGAATTTATTACTCGTTGTTATGATTATTATTACTGTTATTACGAGTATTTGTAAACTTGATTTGCGATCCGTTGATGCCTTCGCCCCCCAAACGCCCGGTTCACTCAACCGGAACTCATTTATTATGAATTTTTATATCCTTTTTTATTCACTGAGTACTTACCCCCGACTCTCTCACAATTCCTGTCCCTTCCAATGCACTTCTATTTTTGTCTATCAATTCATTCGCTAATACACTGTATGTCTGAAGGATTCCGAGCGGAACGTCACCAGAATTGACAAACTTCTTGACGCGACTCCTGCGCCGCAATGCTAAGGATCGCATGGAGTTCGACGAGTTCTTTGAGCACCCGTTCCTGCGGTCGGTGCCCAGCAAAGCGGTGCCCGTCCGGCAGCCGTCGCGCCGATCGGTGTCCAACTCACCCCTCCAGTCGCCCGTCTCGTTCGGGTCGCCCACCACTGCGTTGGCGCCTCATATGCCCGGCTCTCCCAAAGTGGGCGACGACTTCCCCTCAACGCCCTCGTCGTCCGACTCATCCGAACAAATGGATGACTTCGTGATGGTTACGGCCGACGCTAATAGTAATACAGTTGTGGCGCGAACTCCCTCTCCCAAGCATAAGCCCGCGCGAGTAGGCCATGCATTTAAGGCCAAAGGATCTCCTATCGTAGCGCCCGAGCCGTTACCGGTGCCCACGCAGAGGGAGGCCTACGAGCGAATTCAGCGAAGCTGTGGATCTAATTATAGCCCCGCCGGCAGCAGCGATGGTGTCGATCACATCGCATCGATGGCTACCAGTCCGCCGACTACTCCCAAATCATCTCATAAGCCAGGATTGCAGCGACAGGACAGCAGCAGTTCATTGGGCAGCACCGGCAGCACATCGCGTAGCCGTTTCGCGGCAGACATTAGTCAACTGTCGCCACCGAACGTGCAGTTTATGATTGGATCGAACACTCCTCCCGGTTCGGGGTCGGGATTCCTGGCCAACCCCTCCCGTCGCTGCAGTGCACCCGTACTTAATGTTCTCAATACGCGGCAAACGCCGCCTCTATTCAAACAACTAACACCTCCCGGATATGCAAACACTGCCACATCGCCCATATTGCCGGCCATTTGCGACACTCCCGGCGCTCAAATGTATGGGCAACCAATGGTGGGCACCGCACCGGCCGAGTATCCCTATTACCCCCAACACTCTCCGCATTGGATTCTAAGAACCAGCAAAACGGAGCCCTCGATGGCCAACGTGAGCCCCAGTAGTGTCAAACTGGGCTTCGCGTCGCCTCCCCGTGCCATCACTTACAACGATATGCACGGCTATAACCAGAATCGCGGGTCGCATCGGTCCAACCCATACCCGCAGCTCTCGTATGGCTTCCACCCGTCGTACGCGAATCAAGTGTCGTCTCCGCCACAGTCGGCCCCTCAGACCCCAAGCGAAGCCATTATGTTCTCAGCGCCGGAGCTCCCCGAGGAGACACTGTTGGACAGGGAGCACAACGAGACGTTAGCCAAACTGAACTTTGTATTAGCACTCGTCGACTCCATCCTAGAGTTGGCGGAACTCAAGTCCTCTCCCCTCTCAGTACTCACCGAATCCGTCAATAAAGAGAATAAAGAGGTTTGCATTTGTTTTATCATTTATTTTCCCCCTATTTATGTCTCTTTCATGACTATAATAATAGCGCTTTTAATGATTATTGAAATGCATTATTCTTAATGATATTCTTAATGCAATGTCTGCTGTCATTAACCTCAGGTGCAGAGCGAGTGCTATCGCAAAACAGAGCAATTAGTGCTGTATGTGCGGTGTCTTCAGCTCCTGTCGTCCGCATTGCAATTGTCCCGAAAGGAGATTCAGGCGGGAAGGCTGCGAACGTCGACATCTGTGCGCACAGGTAGGTGTTGTTGAATGAGAGGCGACTTTCTGTTGTTGATACAAAAGCCGCATTTTTGGGTCAAAAAACTAAAAAGTGAAATACAATTTGATTTATGGCTGATATAGTACTTCGCACTATGAAAGACCGTTTTCATGAGTGCCTAAACACGTGTAAATCACTCGACTGTACGGCACTCGTCAACAGCCAGAGCACTGAGAGGGCCATTGAGAGCATATCAGCTGATAAGCTGCTCTATAATTATGCAATAGAGATGTGCCAATCGGCCGCTCTCGAGGAGCTCTTCGGACGCCCGGCAGAGGTATGTGTCGCCTATCTATCGATAGTCATGTCATGTGTTTATTTGTTTATTTACGGAAACCGTCTTAACCTGTTTTCGGGTGTTTGTGTGCGAACTATGCGATGATTACTAATGTTCATGTATTGGCATTTATTTGCAGTGCTTTCGTCGCTATCAAACGGCACAAATACTTTTGCACTCATTATCACAACAGGTCTATAATGAAAGCGATAAGCGATTACTCAATAGGTATAAGGAAGCGGTGGAAAAACGGCTGTTCGTACTCCAGAGTCACGGCATAGTTATGGCCTACGATAGCACCCCTACCTGACAATCAAAAGTGGTTACTGATAACCGCTAATACAACAGTTGTTTGGATTGTGTGTTGTATTCATATATTATGGTATATGAGATGAGATATGAATTTTGATATGATATGCGATGTGTATGTATGTAAGGATACTGTACTTCGATCTCTTATATAATGCGAATATACGCTAATATTATGTCGATTTTACTAATATTTATATTAATTTAATAATTAAAATTTCTTCTCAAAAAACATATAATAATAATATTTAAATTAAGTAATAATTTTGATTGTTTTTTGCAATG